TTTACGTTTGAAGGTTGCATGAAAATTGTCGTTTTACAAAAATAAATACCACAATTCTTGATTATGTGTTAAAAAGGATCTTACACTCGTTTGCATTTCATAAGAAATTTATGAAACTCGTCCAGATTTTTCATTTTTTCTCGCCAGAGGCTCGCTAAATTGAAAAATTATTAGACTCGTTTCAAAAATCTGATATGAGATGGAAACTCATGTAAGATCCTATATATATATATAACACGAACTATAAAAATACAAGAACAGGAAGTCATGTAATAAACTATCTTATACACATCTAGCAACATCCCCTTGGTCGTATCAAGTGTTTGCATCCCATCATTCCAATTACTCATACTCGGTGTGACGAATTACCTTGAGGAACATACACACTGCCCAGTTAACGAAGCATACACATCCTCTCAAACACGTTAAATAACACCAACATGGCAGTTAATTCAGATCGCTTGTTATGGAGGACTTACTATGTGCTGTTGCTTTTCGTTTCGGTGGACATAGCTTCATCAGGTAACGGTAAGGATATCTTAATCATACATTATAAATTTAGAATGTTTAAAACACTTTCACAGACTTAATTAGATATTCTTTTAAGCATATGTAATATGATCCTGTTCAAATTAAACTTTAAGAACATGTACAATAATTCATGTATATTTGTGTTTTAAGAGGAGTTTTTTTTATATAACTACAGGTACATAAACATGGGTCAGCACACGAACCTACTTTTGCATAATATCACACTGGACGAAAGTGAAGTTAGTTTTACAAAAAAAAATGGACACAACATTACATTGCGCACTTACATCTTTACTTTATAAGCTCTTTAAGTTCGCAATAACAGTATAACCTGACGTCATAGATCGTACATATATTAGTAGTGTCAAAGAAATAAATGGGCTTACTTGTTTTACAGTTAGTGTAATTCTCCAACCGTTGGTTTTTAAATCATACTTTGGAAAGTAGTTGTTTCTATCTTAAATATTTACTAAAGAACAGCGAGTCTTTGTGAAGAAAGGCGATTATGAAAGTTAAATAGCAAAGGCATTTTTTTCACCTCTGTAGGGGTTCTTCATTGGACTGTTTAGTTCGAAATTTTGTAAATGAATAATGATGATGTTATAGTATAAGTACAAAAGAATAAATGATCATTAATATTTTGACCCCACAGTAGACATATGCTTAAAATAATGATGTCACTTACAGTTCAATACACGGAAGATATTTTTCCTCATTTATTGATTCAGCAAACATGTCAAAATGACGTTCTCCTGATATGTGCCTGAGTATGTAACGTCTGCACAGAAAAACGTGGTGGTTTGTTTTCAGACTGTTAATGTGAATACAGTCCGAAAAAAATATGACAACTCTTACAAACAATGTATTGCATTTACCTCCTACCTTAGTATAACTGGGTCGTTAAAACAACTTTTAATTTTTATATAAATTCGTAATTGTATGCTGCGTTTTTAGTTTTACAACCAGTATCCGAAACATGTAATGCACAATATAATTATTAGTTTCACCATCTGAATGTCTTTGCAGTGCGACTGTATGGACATAAAACCAAGTACGAGGGAGGAATAGAGATATACTACGACTCCCAACAAACCTGGAACCCGTTATGTGGAGAATGCTGGACAAACTACTCCGCCAACGCGGCCTGTAAGGAACTGGGATTCAGGTTCGTCATACAGACTCCTTACATAATTTTAGGGTATCACTAAAAATATCACGAATACCTTGACTATTAAAAAATGTAAAACGCAGGAGACTTCACTAAATTGTGTCTTCAATCAAATGTCAAGTAAAATATCAAATTGTCACAGTCAACCAGTGAAAAATAATTACCTTCCTGGTCCTATTGTATTTTCAAAATCATGTTTGTACGGAGTTTCCATTTAATGAATCTCTTACAGTGATCAATGAATGTTAAATAAACCTTAAAAATGCATAGTTTTAAAAAGGTGCCTTCTCTTGAATATTTTACATTTAGATCGTTTAGTTAAGTTTAGCGTTCTTCTACGAAACTTCCATGACAGTATTAATAGTTATGATGACTACGTGTAGGGACTGTTAGCAACGGCGTTTCAAGATGACGTCCTTCTTCGCAACGGGGTTTTATGGTTATATCATTTTGACGTTACTTGAGGGGCTAAGACTTTGACCGCTAAGCGATGACAATGGGTTTACAGCGTACAGCGGTGACCCGCCATGCGGTTGACCCGATCGCGACCGCGTAGCGGTATCATGACCCGCATACGCGGTCCAGGTCAACGCTAAGCGGTCTCAGGTCAACCAATTGTCAACGCTCAGCGGTCAAAGTCTCTAACCCTCAAGAAACGTCAGTATGACGCAACCACAAATCCAACCAAGAGCCAAACAGAGAGTCATCATGTTTTACGTACTGGGATATATCATCTGCCCAGTAGGAAGGTATTAAACAATTGAAACTTTATCCGCTTTGTAATACATTTCAGTGGTGGCATATCGGCAAATGTGCCTTTGGATAGAAAAGGAATCCTTACTGCTCGTTATGTCTGCCCAACTGGATATGAAACCAACCTTTCGAATTGCTCAATTGACTATCAGAAAGCATGCAATCCTTGCACTGAGGCGGCAGGTGTTTTGTGTGCAGGTATGACATTGTTTTAATCCATAGGAAAATGTACTGAAACAGTAGGTATTTATCGTGCAGATGTCATATTGTTTTAATCTTTACATAAACCTTGTACCGAAACAGAAGGTGCAAATAAAGCAATGTTTTAATCCATGTACTTTTTTTGTGTGCAAGCTAAGTTTAACATTGTTTTAATCTAAATAACAATCCTTGTACTAAGGCGGTAGGTGTTTTGTTTACACATATGGTTTTATTTCTATTTATATAACAATCCTTGTTCCGAAAGCGGTAGTTGCTTTTGTGCTGGTATGTACATTTAAATGTTGTAATCTATATACATTTTGTACATTGTAATAATGATAGGTGAGCACATGAATTCAAGATTCATAATTGTTTAATGAACTATTAAACGCATGCCGTTAATAATTCTGTTTCACAAAACTTTCTTCAGTGTGCAATTAATTATTTGATTTTCCGTTCTCCCTTATGTAAAAAACAGGAAAACGTTGGTAAAGCTTCAGTCACATGGGCGCCGAATTCCGAAAAGGCGCCCGAGCGAAGAGTTTTTTGGGGAACCGTTAGGACGCCGGGAGATATTATAGACCACTATCGGCCTAATTTTAGACGCCGCACGTACGGGTCGCCGAAATAGAAGCCACTAGTTACGAGTGCATACCATTAAACAATGAATAACTTGTTCAATTCTTGCCGGATGATGTCAAAAATGTGCACTTGCATTGTACTCTACATGCTTTTGCAATCTGCCAAGGCGCTAACATATTTTATTGCCCGTTCGTAGGGCAGCTATGTGGTGACGGAATTTATTCAACGGCCCCTGTTCTATAGAATTGTTCAAGGTCACAGGGGTCAAATGTGTCAAACACAGGGTATCAATTGAAAGTTAACAATCCAATAAAAACGAGCAGGAAGCCGTTAATTGTGTCGTAGAAGATCTCTAAATTGGTCAATTATGACGTATATATATATATTTATGTATACTTTTGGTCATAATATTTAAGGATTTCAATTTAGTTTAGGTTATTGGGTGTTAACTACAATGGAACTCGGGTAAATTAAGCATAATTCGCCGATTATTCATATAAATATAAAAATATAAATATAAATATAAGGATTAACTTTATATTTAGTTTAAGTTAGCGGGTGATAACTACAATGGAACTCTGGTAAATTAATCATAATCGGCTTCGCCGATTATTCAATTTACCCGAGTTCGATGGTAGTTACCAACCGATAACCGAAACTATATAGAAAGTAAATCCTTATGTTTATAGTTCTATCAAGGTTTTCCTTAAAACGCGTTCTTTTATCCGGACTATATTTTGCGGAAGGATTACAAATATTCCATTCAAGCCCGATGTGTGACACGGTTACGCTTCGCGCCGCACTTCGCCGGAGTCAGTCATTGTTTGTTGATATTGAAGTTGAAGAAGCAGCTTGTGATCGATGAATTTGTCAACATACCGGACTGAATTGAAAACAAAATCGACGAATTTGAGATGGAAGTTTGTGTGGGAGCCCTGTCAATGTCGGGATTACTTTGGGTTGGACGCGTGATTGTGCTAGATTAAGGCTAATGTGTCAACATTATGTGTAATATATATATATATAAATAAATGAATGAATAAAAATAAAACAAAACACCGTTCCATTTCCATAAATAAAATAAAACAAAACACCGTTCCATTTCCATTTTGATGAATAAAATTGAATGATGAATGATGTAATAATCAGTTCACTCCGAGTTTTCTTTCCGTATGTTTCTGGTAACATATCCATATGGTACAATATCCACATAATTATTTTTTCATTTTGTTTATGCCAAAATATGAAATTACAAATCAAAAATGATTTTGTCAGCGAATTCACAGTTTCTCTATTTACATTGTATGCACAATCTTGTCATGTCGCAACAAGAAGAGCTATATTACACCTCAGGTGACGGTAAATGTCCAAGGTTTTTATTATGTTAAGGTCAAGTCAATCTCAAATGTCAGACAATGCGAAATACATTGTATGTCCATTCATCAATTTTGATTTATTATAGGTGCAGTCAGACTTGACACCCTCAGTCCACCGAGTATCTACAAAGTTGTGATGGTATTTTTGAGAGATAGATTTCAACAGTACAGATGGAATTCTCTGTGTGGGGAATGCTGGACTCGAAGAAATGCTGACGTTACATGTAAACAACTTGGTTACAGGTACATAGATTTTTTGGTTCAATATAAACAGTATGAAAACCTTTATCAATTTAGTATGATTTAATAGCAGACTAATGATTTATCCACATAGTTATTAATTGGGTTCAGTTGTACATTGTATTCTTCGCTAGTAACACTAAGTGGTACATGTACTACTTGATGGCACTATACAATTGAGTTCAGAGAGTACGATAAATGGCAGCATAGTCAAAGTGGCCATGCCGCAATGTCAGAAAGAAAAACTAAAGGTCATAATATATTGAGAATGGCAACTTGGCTGCAAAACGAAGTAAATGGCAAAAGATTGATGAGAGCTCCTTAAAGTTTCCGATAATGACAGAGGAGGAGTTGCGAAACCTTACACTTGGTGTGTATCAGCTAAAATTAGCTCGTTCATATACACAAGAACACATGAGTGATGAGGGTGGCTACGATGCATCCGTATGTAAACTTGATAATCATATTATCAGTGTAAAGATTCAAAGTCGACACACAAGTTCAAAATCACACCAATTGCGGATAAGTTCAATGCTGGTATTATAAAGGTAGGGCAGGTACCCGAGTGGTAGGAACATGTGCATAGGTAGCGTCAGTCATATGGAAAAGACAGCATTTGCACGCAGAAAGGACTGGTCAAACTTCATGCTTGATGCTGCAAATATTGCTCAATCAATTGACATAGATGATAGTGATGACTCTTGCATAGAGGAATGGAAGTGGTATCTAGGCACGATGCAGTGTTCAAATGACTTACCAATCCATTCAACATTTGTGTACAATATGGCATGTACAGTGTATAATTACCAAAGAGCCACTGAGAAGTTCATGTTGAATTATATCTGTGGAAATTATCAATAAATGTATTTTTCAAAGCATGTGGCTAATATTGGACATTTAGATGTTTTAGTGTTTAAATTATTAAGTGGTTATTGCATTGATACCCATTTTATTATTTCAATGTACATTAATTTTATATATTTAAAATTGCCTCAGTAGGTGTATTACACTGTACCCTAGAAATGATGTATGTTACTCTTTCAAAGGCCATTTCCATATTATCAGTCTCTTGTCCATTTACTACCGTATAATTCAATCCTCAAGTCTGTAAAAGGCAAACACTTTCCTAAATACTAACATTTATATATCAAATATACATGTATACATTTGTCAGACAGAAGTCATACAATGGTCACCTAAGATGTTAACTTTAGCCAACACATTTTATTGCCCAGTAAATGAATTTGATTTAAGTTCATGATCAATTAGTCTGGTAATATTTGTTTTATGGAATCTGACATAATTTAAGAACTGCTGTTGCTTTACATGTCAATTAGATACATTTTAGTAATTTATTCAGAAAATAATGAAGACACAGGAAAAATCCTGAAATTTGAGAGCAGTGGGCCATTTTCAGCAAATTCTGGCCAAATTCAAAATTTGGAGGAGCTATTCCATGTAAAATGAAAAGAAATTTGGATAATGGAGGGGTCAATGTCCCCATGGCCCCCTCCAGGATTATCCCTGAAGATATTAAATGCTGAATAAATTCCGTATTGGTATATCATAAAAAGAACATGGATTTGCTGGGTTTTTTCCTGACATCTAGTCGACTGTTATGATTGCTAGGGTATTTATTTGGTTGCTATTAAACATGATCGGCTACAATATACAAATTAAGTACAATAAAGACCATGGATGTTAAACTCACAGATTTATTTAAATCAGCTACCTATATCTTATAGCAAACATGCAAATAACTATTAACTATATGTACATGTAAAAACTAGATTGAATTCCATAAATAGATTTATTGTGGTAATATGTGCCAAAATATGCAAAAATGGTGCTTATGTTTACAGCTCTGTTGCTAGGCAACGATAGTTCTAATTTTAAAGTAAAGCACTTTTTTTATGAATGTCATATATTCATGATGATATGATATGGAGATTAAGAAGTTCCTGGTTTGGGCCAATTATGGCCCTTATCGCCCCTACTCCTTTCATCAATACTATAAGGATATCGTTAGATTTACAATTTCATTCACTTATATCGAAAATAAGCGTGTGCAGCCTTTTCCCGACTGCTACTTATCTCACCAGGCGCTGTGTTGAAGCCATGTTTACGTCATTAGTAGGCATAACCGAATTAATGAGATGTCACGAGCAGAATCCACTGAATGACAATTACATATTTGACTAGATCAGAGGTAATGATAATACAATGAGAGTGCGTTCATCTTAATGGAGAGTGATCTGTTACGTCATTTGGTTTGTTAAACGATTTACCAGTCACCTGCGAATTGGTATTAACAAAAATNGCGAATTAGTATTAACAAAAAATCATCGTTATAGAAGAAGAAGCGTACGATTATTTGACAAGAAATATCGTCATTTTAAAGGGGTCCATTGACGCATGCATGGCATTATGTAAATGATCGAATTCTTTACGACACGTAAGAATATCAAAAATAGGAAAGTTAATAGCTTTTGCTGTGTAAAAAAGCCAGTTTTATCCTGCTGATAAGAACAAAGAGCGAAGGTTAGCGGCATGTTACATGTACCTTTAGAACACTTTTATTTCTGCACAAGGTCAGTTACATCCCTTCGGGTTTTTTTTTCTTTAGCTATCAACTTTTGTGTATAAATTTTGTCAACAAAAGGAGAAAAAAAATACCAATAAATAATAGTATAGTCCTGAATCCTAGTTGCGCGGTTGATTGGTTATTTAATTGTTGGTTTTTACGTACCAGCTAGAAGCATACGGAGATGCCCCATTAAATACAGCGCTGATAAGGTCACGTGACAATTTCGAAACGAGGCTGAATCTTTTATAAACACAATCAGTGGCAAAAGGGACCCACTAGAGGGGGATGTATTTGGGCAATTTCTTATCCCACTTTGAAACCAAGGAATAATATTTTATCTAAGCCTGTGTTGAAACTGGTCAAATCACACGTATAGTAATTATTTATCACCATAAGTTAGTTGCCCATGCCGATATTCAAATGAGCAAATCTTTGTTCGAATCTCGGCATTTTAAAATAAACCAGGGATTATTTAACGGGGCAATTGGGAACGGTAATACACTACTTTTTTTAAACCTACACGACCACGGGACAAACTTTCCTTCCAAAAGGAATGTTCATGTTTTTGAACATTATTCATAAAATTTCTGTTCCTTTTTCATGTTGCATACTCTTCTGTCACTGAGTCTGTCATTTGAGTGACCACACACAATACACATTTCTGGCAAATTGAAATACATGTACAAGTACATTGTGTAAGATATTCAAAGTGTATGTATTATATGTTTTTTTTATGACGAAAACACTCATTTTATTACAATGATCTATCCTGTTGTAATGTGACATTAACTTATTAACACAAATGCAGGCATTGGATACATTCTTTCTAACGGCCAAAGATTATGTAAATTCTTGTTTTAGTAAAAGAATTTGATCCCATCCCGGTAATAAATTTGCCTCGTCCCTAATATCTAGAATTTCTGTGTAAATAATTCTGTGAACAAAAGTGTTTCCATAGTCTGATGTTATCCCTATTGTCCGAAACAGTAGGCAAAATCCTTGGCCGCACACGGTTATTTTTACGAGGTGAACAGGTGACTTTTGTCAATTTTCAGTACGTCTTCTGATGTTATCTGAATTAGTACATTAATCTTTTATGTAATTGTAACATGGCTATGCATTCTACGTCTGCATCACGTTAAAACATGAACTGTTGCATGAGAAAGCAAACTTTTTAAAGTATTTTTTGTTGAACCTTCCTCCTCGGGTATTCTAATATCCCAGACCGTAATTTGGATATTCTTAAATCGTTCAGGCGAATTTCTGTTTTATAAAAATAAAATAAAATAATACCATTTAACTGGACTCGGAAATGATATAACATAACTTATGTTATACTTCATGGCCGCACTGTATAACCATGTAATTAGATTAGACCATCGAAGTCCGAGTGGTTTAACATCACAAACTTATCCCACGGAAGGCCGCATCGCAAAATTGGAGAAACCAGTAACCTTACTGATATCTCTTCCCATCGCATCATCTATATAGAAAAAAGCACAGTGAATTCAATCCGATTCATGCCCCTTTACATAACTAAGTATATTCATTCGTGTTCCATAGAAACACATACTAGCCTCGTAAATGCTAATACAACTGCACTCGATTCCACGTCAGCTTTATTTAACTTTCCACGGGCTATCCAGGAGAACACATGTAGCATTCCGATTGCTAGCATTTTATAAAACTTTCCACCAGCAAAAATGCTTCCCTAACGTAATGCCTCCGGTATGTTTTGACCATTTAGCAACTCTTCGCTTCGTAACTGACGCAGTAACAGTTTTCACTCACTGTTACTTCCACAGCAAGCCATTTTGTTTACAATGAAATGGTGTGTTATCAGAATGACGCAAAATAGTACCGTTTAAAATGCATGACCAGAGAGGAGAAGGGATCCCCTCTTCTATTAGTAATTATACATTTTTACGAATAATTATCAGCGAAATCAGATCGTCTTTTTTATTAGGAGACTCACTTGATATATGCATGCACTAGTTTAAAAACGTCTTCATACAATAGTAGAAATATTCATTGAGTCCAAAAACCCAAACAACACTGCGTACTTTTTAATGCTACCACTAGTATGCAGTTTAGTTTGGTCTCAATTTTCAGCATTTTGCATACAACTACATGTATTTTGTCAGTCTTATCTTGAAATGAATTTAGCATTACGTGTTGTTAAAACCAAATTTAAGATCATTTCACGTCTTGTTTATGTATAATTTGACCGTACGTTTAACCAATAATGACTTGCAACTGTTACTATTAAATGTTACTCAAATATTTGTATTTTAGAGGAGGTAGAGGATCCAAATTAAATGTCAACACGATAGCGTGGATTACATCTTATGAATGTCTTGGAAACGAAATGGAACTGACGTCTTGCCCGGTATTCTATGACCGCTATCGGTTTTGCCCAACTCGTGCAGTTGTGCAGTGTGTTGGTGAGGTTATTTTGCGAGCGTACATGTACTAACGATATTGTAAATGGTGATATCAAAATAGGCATACTATGTATTAATTCGATTTCGTCTAAAAAAACTTCATTGTTGAGCGAGAAATGTTAGATATTGATTTGTTTCATTTCAATGATAATGTGTTTTGTTAATTTCTTTATGTGAAAGCTTACATAATGAATAGGTAAGATATCATACAGTATTTCAGTTAAACTTGAAAGCTATACTTTATCATAGCTAATGGAGATTATTATTACATATAGTAAATAGAGGTCATGATTAATTATATTTAATGGGACTTATGACTAATTATATATTTGTTGTAGGTTGTGATTATTAATAGTTGAAGGGGTTATTATTCATCATAGTAAATGACAGTTATAATTGATTAAATTTATTGGATATTATAATTAATCATATTCAATGGACATTATATTTAATTATAGTTAAAGGGGCTGGTCGGGGAAAAAATTCTCATATTTGCTAAAATGGCATACACATGTTTAAAATACCTTTTTATGAAATATACCGATACAAATTTTGCTGAAATTCACTCCCTAAGAGCAAAAATTCTAATTATATTAAAGAAATCCTGAATCGTCACCTGACNCCTTAAAGGGGCTGGTCGGGGAAAAAATGTCATATTTGCTAAAATGGCATACACATGTTTAAAATACCTTCTTATGAAATATACCGATTCAAATTTTGCTGAAATTCACTCCCTAAGAGTAAAAATTATAATTATATTAAAGAAATCCTAAATCGTCACCTGACAGTCTAAAACTCTCAATTGACCCAGATCAGTGATGTAATTTTACCGCACGCGCGTCATCAACAAGGCCAAATGTAAACATCGCGGCGAAAGAAAAAGATGCATGCAAAAGTCATGACAGGCACGAGGTATCAATACCGTTATATATAACAACAACATATAGGTAGGAATACTACACTTGCATCATACATGACCTTTGAAAACAATTATTTACGTATAGTATTGCTGTCTTGTCCGCTAGTGAAGTCCGACATGGCACATGACGGCGTTGTTATCTTCACTGCCTCACTTTCGAAACAACCACGTGACATATATAAATAGTTCTGCGCTAAATTTTCGCGGGGCTCCCCGATATTTCAGTGGTCAAGACTGGACATTGCAAGCAGAACTCGACCATCATATTGCCGTGGTAAATAACTTTTGGAAGGCCAGAGAACGCATTTAGACCTATTTATTTTGTATTTTTTCCCCCGACCAGCCCCTTTAATAGAGGTTATGATCATTCATAGTTGATTGGGGATATACTTAATTGTAGATAATGTAGGCTATAATCAATTGTAGTTAATGAAGTTGACAATCTTTATAGTTTATGTTAGTAATAATGAATTATAGTTAATGGAGGCTATGACTATATCATGTGATTGACTGGGATAACTCGCAAGTATTGGACAGAGAGAGCAATCTGTTCAAGCGGCAGATAAAAGAAGCCTTGATACGCCGAAGTAGATCAGTTCTAAATCGAGATGAGAGGGCTCATAGACTCTCGCACATCTATGACAAAGTATTAAACAAAGAGTAGCTAAATCGAGTCATATGTCGGTACATATATAACAACTAATTGTACATACACATACAGCGTAGCCGATTCGACATGTATTTGTGGACAACTCGTACATATTTTACACCTTTGTATACAAACGCTTCACTGGTTGTTTGTCTGATGTAGGTGAAAGAATTCATACCATACTAGTCATCGAAACGTCACAGAAAAAAACCTTATTGGTTGTGCTACAAGAAACTTTTCATCATCCGAACTAACCGACATGAAAAAAAATGTTTAGAAAAAATGACTAAATTTAGTTGATGGGGTTATGAATAATTATAGTTAATGGGGATGAAAATTAATCATAGTTGATGATAGTTACACTTAATTAAAGTAAATGTTGGTTTTAAGTAAATGTAGTTGATGTGGATATGATTTGTTATAGATAATGGAGGTGGATTCAGTGGAGTTCCTTTGGACGTTGTTCAGTGACATACGGGGTAGGACAGCAGACAAGGAGAAGAGTATGTGAAAATCGATACACCCAGTATGGTGGGCTGCCATGCGTTGGCAATACCACAACTATTCGAACCTGTAACGAAAAGGAATTCCCAAGTAAGAGACGTAAACATTACTTGCCTCTTAAGATAGTAAGGATGCCTTCTGCTGATAACCCTGATAGTTCGACATTTTAACTTTTCGTTAAGCGACCGAAGGGATTAGCAAATCCTATTGAAGTTCTCTCACCATCTGCAAGGCTAGTTTAAAATTCAAAACATGAAGTTTATCAGTGTAACAGTGTAAAGGGGGTTAATCATGTTTGGAAATGAAAGAATATGTAATGAATTATCATCAATAATAAATAAACTTGCCTTCCAATTCCTGCATAATTTCACTGATGTCAATGGGTTTTTTTTGCTTTGAATAATCTTTCCTCGTGAATTAAATGCCACTTAGTTGGTTTTGAAAGTTTTCCACTTTCCTCTCACATAAAACCTCCTGCGCGCTTCCATCCGAGCCAACCAGAGTGCTTTATATAATTTATTTATATTTGTTTAAATATTGTTGTTTAATAAATATTTTTTAATTTATATTAACACTTTATTCATATGAAAAGTTTAAATGTGAAATATAATGTATTGTTGTAAATTGAATTCGTATTATTCATTTAAGGATTTGCCTTTGATATAGAGTTTTTACAAAAAAAATATCGCAAAGAAATTAATATGTGTTCCTTTACAATATCGATCTAAGTACCTATCTTTGTAGATATTAAAATTCAAATCTAATGCAAAATCCTAAATAGGGGGTCGAATGAGGAATTCGTGAGAGTTGTGATTTCATTTCATATCATCGGATCATAGTTAAATCTGTAACAATTGTCCAGACACTTTAATATTAGACGGACCACAACTAATTGCGTGGAATATTTAATTCATTAACCGGGTTATTTGTTATTACAAAAAAAGCATGTTTTAATATAATTTGCTTGAAATACAGGATAAACAGATCGTTAGTTCTTTTTCAAAATCATGTTATTCCTGGAAGATGTTTTATAGTTTGATTAAATAAAACATGTCCTTTTCCTTGAGCTATCGTGGTCTTGTTTTATACGGTGCAATGCAAGTGTAAAGGTCAATTGAGAGCTGAGATAATGTTAAATTATCAATCAGAAGAGGATAATTAAAAACATGGCTCTTGATTAGGAGATACATTTTAAAATTTTGATTATATAATTGAACCATATTAAGAAGATGCTAGTTTAAACTTTTGATCGCAAAACATGGACCTTCCTTGTATAACACGAAACAGTTTAGCAATTTATTTGCAATGTCCCCACCAGCCAGTGCAGAAAACGTAAGTGAGGGTAAACTCTGGATAGTTCCTATTTTATCAATTCTCTACCGTTGTCCTTGTTTATAGATTACATAAACAATTTACTCATAACAAAGATAACGATATAAGCAATACTTGTAGTTACGTAAACAGATATTTTACGTTTACGTATAAAATCCTCAAAATCTCAATTTTCAATCCCAATCATTCGAATGACCGTGAAGGAGGTAGATTAACTTTAGTTGTACGTTCAGACAAAGCGTCTTTACATCTACCCTTTCTTTAATATTGCAGGATAAAGAGGACTTATTTCTTCATATTTTCCTTTAAGATGCATTAGTGTTTCAAACTTACCTGTTGTCAACTACTATGTGATAATCTACCTGTTATATTCTTGGTTTAGCGGTTTACATTTACCCACAACTCATTTCAACAACAAAGATTCACATCCTGATACTTTAGGTATCATTTTGTAGTCACTTTACAACCTTTTAGAAACATGGAACGAAAGTTGCTTGATGGATTCCGACTGTGCTGATCACCTGGTATGTAATTATACATGTGGTTGTATGCGTGAAACGGACGTTTGGGATCCAGTTCATAGGACATGCCTATCAAGTAAGTCAGTATTTTCATTTTGTTTTGGTATAAAATTGTGTATTTATTATGTCTGTATCAAAATTTCATATTAATTATTAACAGTTGCATGAATTATGAAATATCCTCGTACATGAGTACGTTAACGTATTCCAGGTCTGGAGTTCCTTGCGATATATTCACCAGAGAGACTAGACTTCGCCTCCGCTACCAAGTACTGCACTAACAATATGACCGGCTTCCTGGCTACTCGCGACTTCATGAATAACATGTTCATCACATGCATGGACACTAACCATGATATATGGCTGGCCAACACCATCGAAACAACGAGTAAAAACGATGGAGGTATCAATTTCATTTTTAATGATGTTCTGTATGTTATCTTGTATAAAACTAAGTCATTAATATATAAATATACAAACAACAATTTAACTGATAAAGATTACAACGGTACAGCAGACAGAAAAGCATGAATCAATGATTTAATCAATAAATATAAAACCGCGGAATGTTGCACTATTTTGAAAGAAATTGGTTCCTTTCTCGATATGCATACCTTATGTATGCTCACCATACCGTCGGGTATGTCATGATGCAATGTAAACTCGAATGCTCTCTACGTGCCATCTTGCAGAAGAGTTAAATATAGTGGAACACGTCAAAAATCCTTAACACATTCGAAAGAGATTTGAAAGAGATGAATTGAATCGCGTGACAGAATACCTTTAAAAAATGTCACCTTTAACTTTGGTCTAGCTCCTCTTTTATCTTCATAGGCAGGTATCAGCCAAGAAATCAAATTATTTACTTTGAACCTTTATTTTGCCTTGACATATTCTAAGGGTGCAGAGAAAATATTTTTATCGAAAATGGAGCCCTTGTATTACGAATTTGGATGTTGCATACTAATTCAGTAGTTAAAATGTTTTGCATGTATAGACTTGCGTACACATTTCACACTTTCCAATATCGATTTGAATTTATGTTATCTCATGATTTAAATGCTAAGCATATCCTTACAGAAACTTATGAGGTGGGAATGTGTACAACAGGCGGTGTAATCCAAGCGTCCGAAATGTTTTTGACGAGTGTGAACTGTAGCGAGAACCGAAATTTTGTTTGTGTCGTCAACAGTAAGTATATATACTAGATAGCAATGGTAGTAGTGCTTCATCCAGGAATGTGGAAACTAGTACTGGAGCATCCGATATACAATTGTCAGCAGAATTAGAACAGGCATTTCTGTAAGATATTTTCTGTAAATAAATCAACATCATTTTAAGGCATTACATGTGAAGCTGTTGTCTTAATCTAAATACTAAGATGATGTCGTATGCAATGTTTAGGGAAATTATGTTTCACATATGCTAATGAAAAATATCTGCAAGAGAGATAAAAAAATATGAGTTTATATTTTTTGTCAGGATGATTCGTTTCAAGGCATTACATGAACAGTTGTTGTCTTAATCTGAAAACTAGCAGAATGTCGTATGCAATTGCTAGGGAAATTATGTTTAATGTATGATAATAAAAACATGTAAGGTGCATTTATTTTGTCCATTATCATTGCTTCATTCTTCAAAAATATAGACAAGAGTGGGAAACAAATATGAGTTTATATATTTGTCAGGAACCCACATGCACTTGGTAACCAATGATACCTTTTGTTCCGGATTTATTAGGGTCCAATTAAACACTGACAGCGGTGACATCCCGTTAGGTAAGTGTTTTAGTGCGCAGCTAGTGTAGACTCATTTTGCGTTTATTCTTATTTTTTTTTACATGGTTTATTCTCAGTTATTTTTGTATTAATACCAATATATTATATGCACCAAATGCCTAACTTCTAACAGTCAGGTAAATGTCAACACTGGTGCATCGTTTATGATATTGTAGTTGTCATTATACGTTCTTTATAGATATGTCAGTTATTATTTGTCGTAGGTACTCGTTTCAATTAATGAGATTTCACACTCATATGTACGAAATTTCATAATATAATGTTTGTACTATCAAATGTTTAAAATCTTTTTTTTTTTAAAGAGTTCAATTTAAGTTTCCGTTATTTGTGTTCATTACAAAAAAAAGCAATGCTTACCACGCGATCATGTTAAGGAGTAAAAAACCTGCTTACGTCATTAACACTACCTACTTGTTTGGATATTTGTCGTCGCCAATATTTAAAAAATATTACCAGATAATTTGAATATTGCAATCAAAACAATATTCATATATTCTGTATCATGGTATGATAATGATGAAAACACGACGAAGAGAACAAATTATTATTGTGGGGCTCACAATCATGACCTTGATGTCTCTTGAAAACATTCAATTTGAAAGACAGTGTGTGCATGTCTAATAGTCTATCATTTCAACTATGTGTAAATAGCTCTTACAAGTCACACAAACGTTGCATAAAACAATGAACTTCAATATTGTTTAGAGCTTAAAATCTTATGTATTGTGTTAAGGGAAGCTTTCATCTTTTAATGTAACAATTTGAATAAATTCAATATTTTATTTACTTTTTATTAATTTAACTACGGATTTTACCACGTTCAATGCATCTTTTTACTTTAGACACAACTGCTATCTATGTCTCCACTTCGAATAAAGGGAGACATATTGTATTATTACTGATTCTTCTGGTTCTGGTTCTTCCAATATGATCTTGTCTGGGACGTAACTTTTGAACCATTAAAGATATCTTGATGAAACTTAAAGTATACATGCATTACTCATAGACAATGTGTAATGGACTGTCCTTATGTCATTGTGACCTTAAACCCAATGTCAATGGTAAAATATGTGCAAATTTGCCATGACCATCTTCTCCGGGTTGTAACTTTTAAACCGTTAAGGATACCTTGATGGAACTTGAATTATACCTGCATCACCCATAGATGATGTACACTACACTGTCATTAGGTTATTGTGGCCTTGCTCGTGAGGTCAAAGTGCAATGTTTTCAGGAAGAACATGTCCGGGCCGTAATTTTTAAACCGTTAAAGGGAGACATACGTTTTTGTTCACAAAAACATATCTTGATATGATACACTGTAAATTGAACCGTATCTCGTAGATAAATACACTTCAAAGTTTTAAGGGTAGTAGTTTTGGTTTTATAAATTTAAATTTAAATCAATTACCATAGCAAACTACATTTCTGCAAGATTTGTTATTTTTGAATTTATTCATGGGAGTAATGTCCCTACTCCTCGTTCTGTGTTTTACCAAGAAGTACTGATATTTACCTTCTCAACAGGTTTTTAATTAAATTTGGTACATGATCAGTACGTTGTGAGGATTGTTGTCCACTTTCTAATAACCATTTAAAAAAGCGTTAACTATTGTTGCAAACCATCGTGACTATTATTTATATAACTTGGCATATATGCTCTATACTTTAGATAGTTGTGTGGTTGCATTATAGCTTTTTAAAACCATTTTATGGGTTACATGCTCTTTTACTAATTTTCATCTCGGAGCAGGAGAGTTGAATACACTTTTTTACTACGATTAATATAATTTCTAATAATTCTTATTATTAAATCAATTTCTGTACAACTTAAATATTCCTAATGGTTTAAGTAGGGATAATATTGCTATGAATAATTAGTTATTAATTCAGTTACTCGTCTACTAAAGAATCAGAGAGGGCCGTTAAGATATATAGCGATCAGGGGCTTAACCCCAGTCCCCTCTGCATCGTACTTAGCCTCTAGTTGTAAATGTAGAATTTAATTGGTCCGTTAGAGTTAATTAAATTGTCAAACCTTGTGTATTTTTAAATTGGTCCTTAGTACATTTTCCTCGCGAGCATTTTCTGACCGGATGTTTTACTTGTTGGTATCGAGCTCTGAGGATACTCCCTTCCCACATCACTCTATATGTGTTGACCTTTTTTGTAGTTGACCTGCCATTCGCTATTCTTTTCCTACAGACTTAGGGGAGGCAACTATCATAACCTTACAATATCGAGATTTGTGGGAATTGATTCACCATAGAAAAAGGGAGACCACTACTGAAAATCTTTTAAACTATTATTTCTGGACTTCATGTCTGAGGTACAACAAACCTCATCATAACCTGCTAGTTAAACTATTGATAATTAAACATTAAGTACTTTTTTACAAAGAAGCACTATTATTTTCTACCACACTTATCAAAATTTATCAACGTCAAGGGAATCGATTAATCAGTATTGGTTAAACATAAATTCGTCATTTTGTTTGGCAATATTCTGAATTTATGGTTTAAAGAATGTTAAACTTTGACTTATACTTCCAGTAACGGTCATTCATCAACGATGTAGCGCCATAATGAATGTTTGTACAAATTAACAAACACTCTGACTTCATTTGAATTTATTAATAAACAAAATTTGGATATATTACACATTGCTTCTGGGACTGACTTGTCGTATTTGTGATATTGTGATTTGGACAATGTCATAAAAACTGTTGTTGAAAGATGTAACCCAAATCCAGACTGTGGTTAAACATGTTTATCTTCATTTCCATTAGTTAATTTCCAATACATACAGGTAAACTAAAAACGCTCTAAAGATCATATTCTTCTTCGTTTTTTTAGAATTAACCTTATAACACGATTACTCGTTGTTGAATAAATACACCTTCCCATCAAACAAAAACTATTTTTGATATATTAGGTAGAATAACCAAAATGGTACGACTATATAACTACATGTATTAACACGCATACAATACTGATATAACGATACGTCATCTGTGGTTAATTACGTTTATACACCACCGTTTAAAGATGAGTTCCCGATATTTTTCGTTATTTTAGCTTTATTGTTACAATTTCACGTTGTTAAAAATAAAACACAGAACTGAATAATGCCGACGTTATTCCTATGCGTACTTAAATGGCAAGACTTATTCGTCAAACTTCGATTAGCATTTATCCTTGTTTCCACATTTACCGTAAACTAATACGTAAATATATTTTGTTTTGTTTTAGTTAAAGGAATTGACTGCATATTAGCAGGACACAAATAATGATTTGACTGAATTCATAGGCTTTATTAGGGCTAATGCTAAAAGTACTGACTTTTATTACTCGGTCACTTATCATTTAACCCTGATGTTTCCAGTTGAAGTAAAACTTCTTACTTCTTTGATACTGAGCAGGGACAATAACTACAATGGATTTGTTTCCTTCCATGAGTGAATACTTATCGAAAGTCAATTTAAACCATTATTTACAAAATGTCATGAGTTGGTAAAAAACATTGTATTACTTTCTGACAAGTTTGCTATGAATTTGCTGATGTTATTTTTTATATTTGTGTCAGGTACTATGGTCGTCGCGGTAGTTACCTGTGCAATGGTGTTACTAGTGGCAGCTGTCATCATCTGTATCTTAAGGTAATTAAATTGTAGTATTAAGTACGGTCAGGGTCATACGGGCCCTACAGGCACTGAGGAAAATATANACAGTGTCTATATCATCAGAACAGAGATGGTAGTACAGTGTCTATTTCATCAGAACAGAGATTGTTGTACTTTTTTTTTTGTATAGTGTCTATATCATCAGAACAGAGATTGTAGTATAGTGTCTATATCATCGGAACAGAGATGGAAGTAATATAAGCCCAAAGTAACGTAAAGTATTACGTCAGAACAGATTTGGTCTTATATTGATGCACAGAATAAAATTGCATCTGATCGTATGGTATCTTTTAGTATCTGGATAGTGCCAGTCGAAAGGTTTTGAATAGCATTACGTTATGTAAGTCGTATAGTGATTAAACAAATTGAAAAATTGACCGTGTAAGAAAGAACATATGTTGTTGAATAGCGTCGTGTGGTATCAGGACAGAGGTGGCCGTATATGTATATATTTGCCTTGGGAAACAGACGTCGTCTCAGAACCCTACTATATTCCTCAACCCTGTTCTTAAACTGTTTTATTTTACCGATTTGAATGAAGTCAGAAAACTTAAAGAAAACAAGTTGATTACCTACGTTGTAATGGCAAAAATATATACGGAAGACATTATGAGAAGTGCAAGATCACTTACCCTTCCGAAACACCTTGTTTTTTATCTGGTTGTGTGCAGAGGTCCATATCTAGCTTTTTGTTTTGATCTAATATCCTGTTGCTGCTAGTATTATCGACATTCGTTTTCAGATATTGTCATTTGGTGATGACGCTTTAATATATGCATTCTATTTCACGCCATAAGATATAAGTAAAGTTCCGAGCGAGTTCAAACCTTTGCGAAAAATTGTGTCGGCTGCAGCTACAATGTAACAATAAGAGAACATTTATTAGACAGAGATATCACTACTTCTTTACATGTTCAAATTTTGTTATTCAAAGACGTGTCTTATTTGATACATCGCGCGATTTAAATGTAGATTTTAATGTAGAAATTATTTTATGGGGAAATAGTGACACTTACTCTTAGTTAAATCGGTACTGACGTTTTTGAATACAACAAAGCGTTTTGATACTACCTGAACGAACCTTTTACAATCGGCATCAAATCTGCTCCCTCTCGACTTCCTTTCCCGTCTTTCATCTACTTTCTCTTCCAATCCCCTTTACTTTTTTTGTGATAAAGTAGATTTAGACAAAATACATCCACCTTATTATTATCTTGTAAATTTATCTCTGTGTACATAGTACGTCACGTGATTTAAATGTAATTCATATGCTGTATTCGTGGAGAAGAGCTTGTAAGTTGTTAGAACTTGTCTCTTATCCATTTGTCTGTTTCGAAATAAAATATGTTTAAATCAGACAGAGATAAGAAAATGTTTTGCCTATTCTATATGTGTCGATAAAATAAACAATAGAAATACGAAGTATGAAAGAAAAAATTAGTATGCCAACGAAGGAAATAAACAAACTAAACATTATATTGCACCATACGTCTATTTTGTCCATTAAGGACTCATCAGTGGTACATGTACTAGAGGTCTAAAAAAGTAAACAGTATATTGCACCATACGGT